AGAGAGTTGTGAGTTTACTCTAAAGGCACCTCAACCTCTGCATCCCATTTTGCTCAAGGGCTCTTCCTCCTAACTCAGCAGGCAGAGGATTGCCACCTTCCCTAGTGCAAGGCTGCTAAAGTCCACAAGGTTTACTACCGAGTTATCGTGGTCAAATTACTTATTACCCCTTGAATCAGAGCCATACCAGACTAGGACGGTAGAAGGAAGAAGGCTGGGTAAAACATGAACCACTGCTACTTCTGATGCACGCAATCGGGCTGCAAAATTGTTGGCCTTTTAAAGTGCTGCAAGACTTTGCTGAAGTCCACAAGGTTTACTACCGAGTTATCGTGGTCAAATTACTTATTACCCCTTGAATCAGAGCCATACCAGACTAGGACGGTAGAAGGAAGAAGGCTGGGTAAAACATGAACCACTTCTACTTCTGATGCACACAATCGGGCTGCAAAATTGTTGGCCTTTTAAAGTGCTGCAAGACTTCTTTTCTCCGGTTGTTATAAGACGCCTTCCTGGCCGAATTTCAGTCACCCGAAACTCGGGTCCCACCAGTACGACCACAATCAATCCAGCCCCCCGCCTGCGCCGAAGTCACGAGCGGATGCATCCTCTCTCGCTCTCTCATTCACACTCCCTGTCACACATTTCCACACTGGGCCCCAGACACTTCTCTGATCCCGGCACTAACCCGCGCCTTCTCACATGAGAATAGCTGTCAGGAAAGAAGCATGACTCCCCGACGCCTCCGGCTCCAACTGTCCAACACCCGCCCCACTGCCGCTATGGCAACTTGAACTAGCCGCCCTGCCACCGAGAGAGAGCGGCCTCGCAAGGCGCCAGTGCCCCTCAGGCGCCTAGCATCCTAGGAATCGTAGTTCGAATGTCCCGAGGCACCAGTTGTTCGGCCTCGAGAGAAAACTACAGCTACCAGAATGCTCCGCGACAACTAGTCTTAGAACAGTCAGAAGCGCCGTTCCTCGTTGCCGTAGAACCCGTACAGCAAGCGGTAGTAGAGCGAGCCAGGCTGCGCCTGTTTCTTAAAGGGATAGGCGCTTAATTTCAGCCCTGCGCGGTCTTTCCAAGCCCGATTCCTTCCAATTGTGTTGGATTATAACGAGCTTTCCCAAAAGCTGGTAACTTAGAATCTTACAGACAGTTTAGGAGATGGGGTTCATCAATCCAGGAACCCAAATTCCTAAAGCAGTGTTTCTCAATCTTGGCAACTTTAAGATGGGTGGACTTCAATTCTCAGAATTCCCCAGCGAGCATGACGGGCTGGGGAATTGTGGGAGTTGAAGTCCACCCATCTTAAAGTTGCTAAGGTTGCGAAGCACTGTCCTAAAGCATCCAGACCGATGGCCAGCCAGCCTTTGCTTAAAAGCACCCAGTGAAGAGCAGACCATCTCTTACATAATTGTTGAACTGGACATAATTGATTGGTGTGATATCTTTGTTGTAACTACAGCATGGGTACATACATTTGCATTCATCAACCACTAATCCTAACCCCATTTGGCTAAGAGAGCAAGACAGATGAAATAATTGACTGGTATCTGAAACACACTGGGCAAAAAAGAAACAAAAGCCTTTTTTCCCGCTAACATTCAAATGAAATCTGATTTCCTGTATAGGAAGTCCCCAGTTTAAGAATGAGTTCCGTTCCCAAGATCTGTCCTTAAGAAGAATGTGTATGTAAGCCGGAACAGTATTATTGTATAATACTGTATAAGTAGTATTATGTAATTAACTCAAATTGTGTATTTAATTCAAATCATTGTGTATTTGACTCAAATTTTGCTACAATAGGCTCTGTTCTTAACTATGGGCCATCCATAAACCGGACGTTCTTAACCCGGGGACTCCCTGTAACTTAAATCCATTTGGTCTGGGCCTGCACTCTCGAACAGGAGATAACAGATCTCTCTTGATAATCTCTGAGGAGTTATTTGAGTATTTGAGGAAGGCTACTGTATACCCCCTCAGTTGTAAGGCTAAGCATACACAGCTCCTTCAGTCTCTCATTATAATTGTTTTGAATTTCCAATCCTCCTTGTTGATGTTCTCTGAACCTATTTAATTTCTCTGAATTCTTCTGAAAATGGGATACCCAGAACTAGAAACCAATATTCATGGTGGAGTCTGACCAATGCAAAATAAAGGAAAACAGCTACTTCCTATCATTTGGATCTGTGGGTGCAGTTTAAAATTAAACTTGCCTTTCTTTCTTTTCTTTTTCTTTCTTTCTTTTTTTTTTTGTAGTCAAGGGATGAAGGGATGTATTAATAAAAAAAACTGAAAAGTATAAGATTCAAGACCGTTCCTTATGACACCCAACTTGACAAACCTGTTCAGTTTCATGAGGAATCATTCATAAGCACTCTTCAGAGAGTGTCCATGAGTATTATTTTTGAGCCAGCTATGTAGCCACTTAATTATTATTCCATCCAGACCATACCTTTCTAATCAGCAAGTCATGGAGATTTTTTTTTTTCAGATATTTGGCTAAAGTCAAAATATGTTATTTCTACAGCATTCCCACAATCTACCAATCTACCTAATCAATCAATCAAAATAAAATGAAATAAGGTAATCTAGCAAGTTTTGTTCTTGACAAATCCATGCTGGCTTCTGGTAACTAACAGTTGTTTTCATAGTGCATACAGATAAATTTCTTAATGATTTGTTCTAGAACCTTCTCAGATATTATGGTCAGACTGACTGGCCTGTGGTTTGCTGGATCTTCCTTTTCTCTGCCACCTCAACCCACTTTGAAAATAGGAACATTGACTCTTCTCCAGTTATCTGACACTTCACCAGTACTTCAGGATTTCTTAAAATTATAATAACAATTCAGCCAGACCATCAGCTAATTCCTTCTGTAGGATCAAGTTACCTGGTGATAGAGATTTTACTCATTCTGACTAAATAAATATTCTCTGGTTGTATTTCTATCATTCTCAAGCTTCAGTGCTGCAACATCTTCCTGCCCTTCACAATTTCCTGGTGGAACATATATTTTATTGTTGGAAAAAGCAGAATCAAAATAGGAGTTCAGTTGCTCTGCCTTTTCTCTGTTACCTGCCAGCATTTTTCTGTCTTCACTGAGAAGCTATTCTATTTATTCTTTTCTTTTATTTTTATATTTGAACATATTTAAATAAGCCCTTTTAATTCTTGTGGGGGGAAAAAATTCTCTCACAGATTTCCCTAAGAGTTCATTTAAACCAGAAATCAGCATATAATCCCAACAAAGCACAAATTGTTTATTATGTCACCGGAGGCAGCAAAAACAAACTTAAACAGGGTAGGAATGCAACCCTTCTGTTTGTTTGTTTTAATTGTAAGGCACTTAGAGTTGCTAAGGAATTGGGAGGCCTCTAAATCAAAATAATAATAATAATAATAATAACAACAACAACAACAATCCACAAATATGATCTTGAAGAAACTATGTGACAGCAGTAGGAAAACATGTTTTAAGCCCAAGACAGGAAGAGAACATTAGAAAGAAACTTACCGTATTTTTCTGTCAATAAGATGCCCCCATGTAG